TATGGATTATTTTTCAATATATTTTGTGTATTTACTTCATATTGGTTAGTTTTTCTCTTATTATACCATTAAAGTTGGCAGAGGCCTTTGAAGGTGAAGATGATACATATTTTGTAATGGCTTGGTGTGGTGTATATAGTAGAAACACGAACATTAAATATTTGTAGAGTCAATGCTACAGTATTTTTGGTGAATATTTTTAAAATAAGATATTCTTGGCTAAGTATTTTCAGATTATTTTAGTGTACTAGACTTCAAATAAAATTGAGGAGGGTCTATAAGGGAGGCTGAGAAAGGTAGTCTATTCTGGGAGGCTCTATATCTACTTAAAAACTGGATTTTATAGTTCAATGGATGACCCAAAAAAAAGGATGCATAATAACAGTATTGCAAAAAACACATGTAATATTAATATACGTTGACAATATGCAATATATAATGGTAGTATTGGAAGGGCTAACAATCTGTTACTTATTACCATTATAATGTACCAATGAGATCTAATCACTTAAGATCTTTAAATGACATTACTTATTAGCCATTTGGGAAGTATAGCTTGTATAAAGTGGTGTAGTATTTGTGAATAACCTATGCACATCCTTGAAGTGTGCTTTAACAACTCTAGATTGCTTATGATACCTAATACAATATAAATACTATGTAAATAGTTGTTATGCTGTATTATTTAGGGAATAATGTCTGTACATGTTCAATATAGACAGAATACCCACCACCCACCCTCCCTTTTTAATTTATAGTTGGTTGAATATGTAGATGTGGAACTTACAGCTACGGAGAGCCAACTATATATACTTGGAGAATAATTTGGCTCTTGGTACTGTCATTCATGACACTCAAGAAGTTTTGAATTACAGAGCATTTCAAAATTTGGATTTTGACAGTTTACTTTTGGTAAAATCTATGCAAATATTACAAAATCCAAAGAACTCTGAAATCTTAAACACTTCTGTTATGCTGTATTGTTTAGGGAATTGTTAGGTAACAGAAGTGTTTAAGATTTCAGAGTTCTTTGGATAGAGATATTCAATGTTTATTCCATGATTATCAGTATAGAATTTACAGATATGAAAGGGTAAGTTGAAGTTTAGTTTGAATCTTTTTTTTTAAGTTGTTGATGGACCTTTATTCAATTTTATTTATTTATCTTTATTTATTTACAGTGCTGAGAATCGAACCAAGTGCATCACGCATGCTAGGCAAGCACTTTACCACTGAGCTACAACTTGCCCCTAGTTTTAATCCTGATATAGAAAGGAAAAAAAAGAAATTTTAAAAATAATCTTTCAGAGGGCTGGGGTTATTATTCAGAGGTAAACCACTTGCCTAGCATTTGTAAGGCACTGGATTTGATCCTCAGCACCACATAAAATAAAAAATAAAGATATTGTATCCACCTGTCACAAAAAAATAAATATTTAAAAAATAATAATGTTTCAGAGCCTTGTGTTTTTATCAGTAAAATTCAGGTTTAAATAGGTACTTTAACATTACATAATTCTGTGAATAGTAGGAATAAGCTCCTGATAGGATACATTTTACATAAAGAATGGAAGGGTTAAATTATTTAAAAAAAAAAAAAAAGAATGGAAGGGTTATGAAGTTGTTAGGATTGAACCTGTTTGTTTATTAAAAACTTAATCTGGCTGGGCACAGTGATCTATAGCAGTAGTTCCAGCTACTTGGGAGGCTGAGGCAGGAGGAGGTTCACTTAACCTCAGGAGTTGGAGGCCAGCCAGGACAACATAGAAAGAACTTGTCTCCCTTCCCACCCCCACCCCCCCAAAAAGAAGCCTAATCTAATTTGACCTAAAGAAAAAACAATCACATTCTCCTGCAGTTTCACTCATTAGGGGATACAAAAATTGTTGGACTTGGAGTTTGAAAAATCTTTGTCAGTAATTTTCCCTCAGAAATATCTCCTTCATTTCTAATTTCTTGAATATGTATTCAGTACTAAGTAAGCACTTGCCTGGTTACTGGAGTCTTATGACAAGCTTTTAGCCGTCTGTTGAGGCTTCTGGAAAATGGAGGAAAGTTTTTAATTTCACAGCTATTATATTCAACAGTATGACAGTGACATACTGTTAATATTACTTAGGTGTTGAACATAGAAGTTAAGTAACTTGCTCAAGGTTGCAAGGTCAGGTTAGTTAGTGGGAAGTGGATTTGAATTCCAGGCAATTTGACTACAAAGCTTACATTCTCAAACATCATGCTATTAAAGTGTTTTTCTTCATAAAAATCTCTGGAGGTTGTTGTTATAAGTATGAAGAAACGTGGGCTCAGGGATTTTAACTTGCCTTAGGACACAACATAGCTAGTAAATGATGGAATCAGAATTTGAACTTGAGATAGGCTGGCTACTTATCCCTTAACTTTAGCCATTACCCTTTATTGTTTTTATTTTTTTGGTCTTTCACCTCTGAGATTTAGTTCACTTATTAGAAGTATTAAACTCATGGTTTTGCACTTTAATGCCTCCTATGTCTTCGGATTGCCTTTTTTTTTTTTTTTTTAATAAAAATGCCACTCTAGAGTCTTGTAACATCGTAGAATGAATTTCAATGAAATTATTTACAGGTGGAAGAAAGTGAGAAGGAACAAACACTATATATAACAAAGACCCTGCTTTTAAGGAACTTGCTTTTATGGTAGGCAGAATCTAAATACTGAAGTTGATCTAGAGCAAGGAATGGTTTGTACTTGATTAACCCCGAGTAGGTGAACTTAGGTTCTAGATACTTTGGAACAGGTTTAAATTATCTATACAAAAAGACATTCCATTTGGGGGATAAAAAACCCTGAGGTGACATAGAGGATAATGCTGTTATATGGTTTATTTTTAGATATTTCAAATGTTAAGATGATATGTTTGACCCAGCCAAGGTAGTATGTTAAAATATTCGTATATCTGTAATTTGGTTTAAAAGTATTTTAGTTACCTATTTATTTTTGGTACTAGGGATTGAGTCCAAGGGTGCTTTTCCACTGAGTTATATCCCCAGTTCTTCTTATTTATTTATTTATTTATTTATTTATTTATTTATATTTGAGACAAGATCTTGCTAAATTCCTGAAGATCTCATTAAATTGATAAAACTGGCCTCGAACTTGCTATTCTCAGCCTCAGCTCCCAAGTTTCTGGGATTGCAGGTGTGCACCATCAAACCTGGCTTCATTTTATTTATTTATTTTTATTTGTTTGTTTTTTAGTTGTGTAGATAAACACAATACCTTTATTTTATTTATTTTTAAGTGGTGCTGAGGATTGAACCCGGTGCCTCACACATGCTAGGCAAGCGCTCTACCACTGAGCTGCAACTCCAGCCCCCATTTTATATATTTTAAAATAGCTACTAGAGCCAAGTATGGTGTCAAACACCTGTTGTCCCAGCTACTTCAGAGACTGAGGCAGGTGGATCACTCCAATCTAGGAGTTCTAGGTCAGCTTAGGCAACGTAATGAGAACCCATTTCAAAAATACAACAACAATAAAAGGTAAAATAAATAGCAAACCCATAAGAATGTTATAGGTTATGTTATAGACTGATACTCTATATCTTTCAATGGTTTTTCAGTTCTTGGCATTTTTAATCTATCTATATTATGTTGGTTTTATTTATTTATTTTTTCTCATAGTTTGATAAGTAAACTAACTTAAATACATGAGATCAGATTAACTCTGAAATAACTCATTTAAAATAACTTATTTGGGAATATTTTTGCAGTAGATGACATTCTTTTGTTACCTAAAAATTTCACAGCCATTATAGGTTACCTGTCTTTCAAGATTACTTTTATAGGCTTGTATTATAGGTTGTAAAAATCGGGGGGTTGGGTATGGATGTTTGGGATAAGGCACAATTTTAGTAATTTGAATAACTTTGGGTAAGAAACTTTCTGGGTCTTTTTTTTTTTTTTTTTCTTCTTCTATTAAATGGGAGTATAATGGGGTTATTCTGAGTATTAAATGAGAAAGTACAGCCCTTGACACATAAAACTGTTAAGTTTATTAATAAAAATACTGATAGAAGAAAAATCCAGGATGAAGGTATTTTTGTGTTATTTTCCATTAGGGAATATTCCCATCATCTGGTAAACAGAGAAATGGTGGAGGAAGCCAACTACAAAATGGTTAGGCCTTGCACAAGCTAGGCAGGAGTTCTGCCACTGAACTATATACCTCCCCGCCCCCACCAAATAGTTTGAACACCTATTTGTAGTTTTGAGAATATTATTTTTATAGGGGAAGGAGAGTCTTTTTCTTTGTATTGTCCTGTGCCCTTTTGACATGTTGATAATTCAGGACTAAGAATTTTAGGCATTTGTTTTATAGCTATTTAACAGACATTTAATGCTTTATTACAGTTCCAGTTAGAAAGGTCGGATTATTTAATTTCTTCACTGAATTTGGACTTCTGTAAAGTTTGTATTTTTTTTTCTTTTAAAAATATGAGTCAGTTGGTAAATTCAACAAACTAGAAATTGGTAGAAAAATCTCAAATTTATTTTGTTTAAACTAATTCGAATCCTTTAAAAAAAAAAAAAAAAGGCATATATCTTGGGCAGGGGAGATCTTGGCAAAAATAACACCTTAACTTAGGTTCTTGGTTTTTATAGCCTCATAAGGTGTTTTTCCTTTGTCTCTAAATCTCTTTCTATGAGTTCACTGCGACATCCTTACTGCAGCCACCATTATAGGGTTAAACATTTGCTATATTGTAGCATACGAAAGCAGTTAAACTGTTTGAAATTGTTTACTTGCTAAAACCAGTGTTAGTCAGCAGAGGCAGTACACCAGATTTCCTTGTGGCTTTTAGTGGAAAATGTTAAAAGCACACTCATTTTTCAGTTATAGAATTTTTTCAGTTTGATCCGGATTAGTCACAGAACTGGCATGAACCTTCTAATTGTGAAGGCTGTCCAAAGGCACTATTTTTTTCTCCTGCTAGAGGAAGTTACATCCTGAGCAGTAGCTCAGCTCTCTTGGTAAGTGTAACATGTGAGCATTACTAGGCATTTCATCCTGCGGGTCTGCAGTCTTTGCTCTTCAGACTGTTGGAATGCTTCTGAGAGGCCGATCCTGAGATTCTGTAGATATTTTCTACAGACTATTCATTTGGGGATGTCATTGGCATTTTGCAAGATCATCTGAGGAAATAGGAAAGCATCTGAAATCGACTGAGAAGAATAACTGTGGCGGTTTTCTCTTGTGGAAGGAAACTATATTGGCACAGAGGCAGATGATTGAATAAAGTAGTTGGCTCAAAGAAGATGCACAGTCTGCTATTTTTTTTCCCTCTGAATGAAGACTGTTAAACGGAAGCTGTATTCATGTGGAGATCAAATGAAACACAGGAATGATAAACTGGTTTTTTTTCTTCTTCTCTCTCGTTTTAAAATGAAAACCCTGAAGCAGTAATTTGAGCTCAAATGCCTTCTAATTCCTTCGAACAGCGTGCTTGTTCTATTAGGATTCTCCACTATCACCATTTCTGCCTGGTGCCTGTGCCCTTTTGCTGGAGCAGCCACGGACAACTGCCTGATAGAGAAAGAATGAAAGCTCTGCCTTGCTTATTCTATCGATGGGAATAAAGCTATCTGTGTTTCTTCTATTATATGGGAAATCTGGATTAATCAAGCTGTATTCTAGTACCAAGAGTCCTATTGTCTCTTGTGGTCTGACTCATCACATGTAAATGTACTGCAGCTTTGCTATTAATGCAGAGTATTTTTCCCCCTTTTCCAAACACAGAAACAATTGTTAACCTCTGAGCTTCATTTTCAGGATTTGTGCTGAGCTCTAGATCTTTATTTTTTAAATTTCCTGGATAAGATCTTTATTGAATTTGTGAAACTGAAGAAATGAAGACAAATTAGAAGTGGAAACAGAATAGTGAGGTTTTATTTTTTATTTTTAATTGAAAGCAAGCCAACCTACTGGTTACTATATGACCTTGCAGGCAAGAGTGGGTATAGCTGTGATCATCTCTGTCATAGCAGTTGTTTCTTACTTCATTCTGTATCGTGTGGTGTTGTGTCACCAAAAACAATAATTGTTTTGTACAAGTAAATTTCAGAGAGCAGTATTATTATTTTGGTGGGGGAAATATTTTAAAATGAGCTTGTACTGGACTCAGTTATAATTATTGACATGTTGATTAAAAGGTTTTTTAAGTATTATAGTAACTAACAGAAAACAGAATTTTGTTATTTTTAGTAAGTTTCAAGTTATATATCATAATTTTAAATTTCAGTTTCTGTGATAGTACTTAGTAACTTTATAAAACCAGCTGCGCTGTTCAAAGAATGTTTGTAAGTGTTGTTCAGAAGAGGAGGAAAAACTACTTGTGCTCTTTCAACTGTGGCTTTTATCACAAAACTTGGAATTTAATGTTTTAAAAGAGCGAATGAGTCGAGTGTGTATTGTTGTTTTGGAGGAGGTAGAAGATGAGTCTCCTGAATTCATTTCTAAATTGCCACAGGAAAATAAATCCCTGCATTCTCTACCTTCTGGAAATGTATTGGTAAGATATGAGAGTTTATATTTCCTATATTATGCTGAGCTTAAAGTATTATAAATTTTATTTTTAAGAATAAACTTGATTTAGTTTCCACTAGTTTCATTTTGTCAGTAGGATACAATATTCTGTATAAAATAGAAACATTTCTGATTTTTACTTTTTCAAGTGTTTAGATAACATTTCAGACTTTAGTATTTCTTAATCTCTTAAGACTTTTTTGAGAAATAGTTTTGGCAGCCACATTTCTGTTTTTATTTTGTGGGTTTTAGAAGTGACGTGACAAGAATCAGGAACTGCGTATTTTAAGAAAGGTTGAGTTCTACTAGCAACACCAATGCATAGTTGTTTCTATAAAGAATATTTATATATTTACATGTAAAGCTTTATATGAAAAAGACCAAGACTTTATCCTGAATCTTATTTTCAATACTGTTGTCAAACTGGTTTCTTATGTGACTAGTATAATATGATACTTTAGAGAGTCTATGTTGTTGATTAAGAAATTATATTTAGACCTGCATGTGTTTGTCTTTTCATGTTATTCACGTTTACAATATTTTTTGGTCTTTTAGTAGTAGTTATTTTTATTAGCTGTCAAGTTTACTTTCTTGGGATTTATGTCTTGTGTTGCTAACCCATGCATATTATTTTTATGCCCTAAACAGGCCTTTTTAAAGGGACATGCTTTCATGGGCTTCAGTGTGCGCTGGGTATTGCTATTTGACAAGTCTTAATCCACAAGTAGATGTTGAGATATCAAACTTTTATTTGGTAGTCTTTCTTTTGATCATATATAAACAAGAAGCTTCCACCAAATAAGAAATAAACCTGATTGTGTTTATTATACTGCTTAATTTTAATCAAACTGAATTGACATATACATTTTTGTTTAAAAAATTAAGCCCTCTCCCACCCCCAAGGATGAATTCTGTACTTTGATATGATTTGACTTCATGAAACTTCTGCCACTTATTATTAGAAGTTATGTGTCTCAGCATGGTGGCACATTCTGTAATCACAGCTATTCAGAAGTCTGAGGCAGGAGGATCACAAGTTTGAGGCCGGCCTGGGCTCAAATATAGCAAGACCTTGTCTCAAAAAATAAATAAATAAATAAGCAAATAAAAATAAGGACTGGGGATGTACCTCAGTGGTAAAGTGCTCCTGGGTTCAATTCCTAGTACTGCACCAGAAAGAAAGAAAGAAGTTGTTTATGGAATGGAAATAAAATTATTCATGAGGTAGAACTAATGTTTTTATTATTCTTTCATATTTTAGCCGTCACTGGTGCAAGCTATTTTTAATGGAGATCCCGATGAAGTTCGAGCACTAATATTTAAGAAAGAAGATGTTAACTTTCAGGTAAAACAATTAATTCCCTGATTCTAGCCTTTAAACTTGCTTTTTAAAACTCCTTCCTGGAATAGTGATTTTTGTTTAAAATATATAACCTAATTCTGTTAACAGCGGTCTTAAATGAGGACAGAGGGTCTTGCAGAAAAAAGGGAAGCACTGGGCTTATATTCAGGGCAATAAAAGTAAAGAGTACTGGACACCAGTGACAGTCCTTTGTTCTCCCAACTTTTTACTTTGAAATTTTTGCTTTTAATTTGAAACTCAGGAATGTTGAAAAAGATACTCTCAACACCTGTGTACCCTTCACTTAAGTTCAGCATTAATAACATTTGCAACATTAAATTTTCATTCATATTTGCAAAGATTTATATATATATACAAATATGTGTGTATATGTGTGTACATTTCTTTTGTTGAAACCCATTTAAAAGTAAGTTTCAGAAACCTAGCGCTTTACCATGTATATTTCAGTTGAGGGTTCTTTTTTGTGAACTTGAGATACCAAACATTACTAATAAATTTCTAACATGTGACTTGATTATGAGATTAGATTTGCTTTCCATAAATCATGGTAAGCATTTTACAAACACTTTTCAGTGCTTTTTGTCTGATTAATTTTTAGTTAATATATACATAGTAAATAGTATATAGTAAATATATATAGTAAATAGTAAATTTACTATATAATCAAATTTGTTAATGTGTATATTTTTACTGGAAACAAATGTACCTCTGAATTATCAAGGGGTGAATGGTGAATGCTTATGATTCATAAAGTTGCTATAGCAACACCAAAATAGATGATATAGAAATAATTATAGTTCTAAGAAAGCATACCCTGCAAACTCATCTTGAATTCATCTTTCTGTTTCATCCGGTACTACTGACCACTTAAAGTAGATATAAAAAGTTTTATCTTATTTTAAAATTTTGAATTATCTGAATAGATTGAAATCATTGGCTAAAATGGCTACTTCTAATATCGAATATTGACTAGAATGCTATCATTATATTTTTCCTTAAATCCTTTCTAAGTGAATTACCTCCAAGTTTGTATTTAGTTGTAGGAATATGCACCTAATTCAGGATTTATGTATTTATTTTAAAAGTGCCTGTTCACTTTACCTAATCTGGCAAATCTGCTTTTCTTAAGACTGGAAATAGGTATAGGAGTATAGATTTATGAAAGAGAGGAAAACAGGCTTTCTCTTCTGTGTAACTCTTAGGGGTTCTTTTATTTTACTTTAATAATACTAACAAATCTTACTTTGAGAAAGTTTGAGCCATAATCTCATTTACTGTAGCTAATTTCTCCATTATTACAAAGCTTATTATAGCTTACACTGTTTTTCTGCTATAATGAAAGTATGTTAAATTTTAAAATATTACTCATTATTTTGAACATCAGTTATTCATTGATGGCCCTTCTTGAGGATGACTCTGTCTTCATGGATTACATATTTGAAAATAACATCCATCTTTTTGAAACTTAGCTTTGTGCATTGTTTGAAGTTTCTTTCTTTGTTGTTTTTTTTTTTTAATGTTTTTAGGATGGGTTTAAATTCAGATTTATCTACTATTTAATAGTCATTGTTTAATTTTCATTTTTTTTTAGTCAAATGCTTCATTGAATATATTGCCATATCTGGAGTAAACTGGGATTTTCATAGTAAGGAAATATATCTGGGAAAGTAGTCGATTTGGATTGGAAACTTATAAAACATAGATTATTGGTTGCCTAAAAATAATTGAAAATTGAAAGTTACTGGATATGGAAAAAAAAAAGCATGGTAAACCAAAAAAGGGAAATAGAGTTTAAACCATAGTGTAAAGAACATATTTGGACTACAATTTGAATCTTCTTACATATTGACTGTACAACTTGAGCACATCTATTTAATTTCTTGAGGTCTCTTTTTTTATTATTATTATTTTAGTTGTTGATGGACCTTTATTTTATTTATGTATATGTGGTGCTGAGAATCGAACCCAGTGCCTCACACATGCTAGGCAAGCATTCTACCACAATCCTAGCCCAGCACTCTTTTTTGTTGTGATATGTGGGGTCATGTAATAAATCTTTTTAAGATTTTTCTCCACCCCAAGTTTAGGATGCTTTAAAAATTAAAAATTATGAATAATTTTTAAAAAGTCATAATAAATTATGACTACCTGCCTTTATCTAGAAGCTTTTATTTGTTTTTCTTTCTTTATGTAGCCAAAATAATAATAACACCTTTCCTTAGGATTTACTAGAACTTAATGGCATGTTGTAGAACCCAAATAATTTAATCTAAAGTATTAATAATACCACATTTTGGGAGAAAGATTTGATTCTTCTGAGAAATTTTTTTTTTTTAATAAGTAGAATTGTTTTTCTCTATTCATAGTGATAAAATTGGTTTAATTATAGATTACTTCTGACACAGATATATGCCTGAGACTTTTTACCTCATGCAACAATATTGTAAAGTAGTTGAGTGACATTTCCATTTCATCAGTAGGTGACAAAACTAAAAGAGAGTTTTAAAAACATCAGGAACAAGAGGTATAGAACAGGAATTTAAACCTTTGTCTGAGTTAACTAACTGGGGAAATAAAGCAGGTATTTTTGCCAGCTAGTACTATGAAACAGAATGGTTCAAAATAGGTATTTTTCCCTCAATGAGGTTAACGTACATGCCCTATGGATACCTGCCTTTTAGACAGTGACACAAATATGATCCTAATTTTCATATTACCAAGTACAGTTAAAAACTAGCATTGCAAACAAATGAATGCACAAGCCTCTGTTAGTGCCTTATTTTTTGGGTGAACAAAAATTTCATTCAAGGTAGTATTATACTAGGGGCAATTATAATCTGGCCAAAATGGGTTCTACTGTTTAAACAGAGGAAGACCTAGATTAAACTCAAAAAAGAGCTGATTTAAGTATGAAGCAGTAAATTTTTTAATATGTGCCTATTAGAAACTGATAATACCATAGGAAAAACAAGCTGCAAAATTTTAACAAAGAATATATATTTCTTTGAGTTTGTTTGTTTAGTTATTTTATTAGTTAGTTTATTTATTTATTTTAAGGTACAAGACCCAGTACTGCAAAACAAAACAAACCCAAATATAATAGCTTGCTTTTAAAAAAAAAATTTTTTTTTATTAGTCCCAGTGATTGAACGCAGGGAGGCTTAACCACCGAGCTGCATCCGCGGCCCTTTTGATTTTAAATTTTGAGACAGGGTCTCATTGAGTTGCTGGCTTTGAACTTGCCATCCTCCTGTCTCAGCATTAGCTTAATGTTTTTGAAAATGCTGCCTGTGTATTTTGCTCATTGGCTTCTGAATTTAAAAACACTTTTTATTCTAAATGTTTTTTTGCTCATTTTTCCCAAGTTGCCTTCTAAACTATTACTGTCCCCTAACTTCTCAAAAGTATTTTGTGGGATCCTTGAAATGTTGTTGATTTTACTTGTCATCAAATAAATGTGTGTGTGGGTGTGGTGTGTGTGTCTAGCATATCATTAGCTTTCTTTTACAATAACATAATTGGTAGTTAATATAAAATAGTAAACTCTAAGTTTCCACAGGTTCCCTGAATATCACCTACCCCATCCAATGTGTTCTTTGGTTGTTTCTGGGAATTAGCATTAAGTGTTCTAACCTTCAATAAATCTTTCCTGGAGGCCACATGCCTGTCAGTATACCAAGCTATTGATGTTCTGAGCTTTAAAAAGCCTCTTCGCTCATTACTTGAGATTATGTGCACTGTCTCCTGAAACCATATGTGTATAATAGTATTCTATAGCTATAGTAATTGAAATTGGAGCCCTTAGTCCCATATCAGATGTGTCCACTCAGCTTCCAACTACTTGTATGGAATACAGAGTATAGGTTGGGAGCATGGATGAAGAACCCAACTCTACTCTATCTAGGAGAGAATTCCAGGTAGTTCCCTCAGGCCTAGGAATGACACTTTCCCAACTTTAACCAGTGTCTTTAGAGTCCAGCTTCAAATTTTAAAATTTTCTTCACCAGTGTTAAGTTTTCCCCCAAGATCCAATAATGAGTGTGTGTCGCGTATCAGTATGACTAAATCACTTTTTTGGTGCTTCTAAAACAAAGTAGTTAGAAACTTTTTATAATTCATTTATATATTTATTTTTAGTTAACACATAATATATATATCCTAGAATTTTTTTTTTTTTTCATCTCTAATGTGTTTGGAGAATTGGGGCATAGTAGTCTTTAGAGTGTTCCCTTTTTATAGTTGCATATTAGTTCATTGTGTGCTTATACCGTAGTTTATTTAACCAGTCCCCTTTTAGAGGGTATTTGGATTATTACTAATCTTGCTCATTGGAAAATATGAGATATTTTCACTTATTGAACAAAAATTCTGCTTCAGTGGGTGAGCAAAAATCTTAGAATACTTGAATCATTAAACATATTATCAACTTCCCAGAGAGATTACACGTTCTCTACATGGTGTGTTATAAAGTAATTTTAGCATCCTTGTATACATGAATTGGCGAAGGTAATTGATCACCTTCAAGACAGTATTTTAAAATCTAGTGAATATGCCATCAGATCTTTTCAGGGATAGTTTCTGATTTGGGATATTTTTTGTCATTCTTTCCTTTAAATGTACCATACTATCCTATTTCTTTGTATGACGTGTGATTCCTGCTGTGAATTGGACATTTGAATCTAATTGAGTGTTAATTCTGGATGTCAGGTTGTCCCCTTTCTTCAGGGTTCATTATATTTGCTGTTCTTGACTTGCCCCTGCCCCCTTTCTTTCTTTTTTCTTTTTCTGGTTATAGGCTGTTATTGAACTTAGGATCAGGTATAAACTTAAGGTCTTCACAGGTCTTTTTCTGAGCCTGCATCTTTCCCTGAATATGTATGGTTATTTTCTAATTTCAACTGTGTATTTGGGTTTTGACTGTGTTAGTCTTTATTATCAGTTTCCTGAAAAGGGTGTGGAGAAAAATGAAGGGAGGGAGAAAA